CTCAAAACTGTTTTTGAAGTGTCCTCTACGTCCTGTACCCCAACCACATCCTCAAACTCATCTGAATTTGATATCCACCCAAATATTCTTTCACCTTCCTCTCTCAGAACTTTTGAAGCTAACCAACCAGAACCACCTATTTCTTCTGAAATTCTCATTCCCAATTCCATCCCAACACCTAAGCCAAGGACCTCTGAGTATGTATCCTTTGCCTCGTGTAAACCATCTTCCTCTGACAAACTTCCCTCTGGCTTCAAATTCAAAAATTTCTATACCAGAATTGAATCATCTGACACTATCACTCCTGTTAAACCCAAACTTTCCATCATTCTACCATTTGTTCTCCAAACATATATAAAAGAACTGCCAAAAATGATTTAATCAGAATCTCTTTTATCTGATAAATCTGCGTTCACTCCTTACACTTCTACTACATTTGATGTTGTTTCCTATGCATCAAATGCAAAACCATCTTTGCTGAATGCCTTAATCAGATCAAAAACTGTCATTTCATCTGATTCTCCATCCATACTCTTCTACCCTCGCCCTCTGGTCATCATTCCAGAATTCACCATTCCACCTTCACCTCAATCCAAGCCATTCACCTTGGAAACCCTTCTGAAACCAAAGCCTAGGCTGAATGTTGATCATTTATTTACAAGTTTTATGAAAGAAATAAAGATACATTTAGGATCTGTTCAGAAGAAGTGCTTATCAACAATGGATGCAAATGAATCTGATGCTATCTAGAATAGCTTCATCAACAGATTCAATATTGTAGCCTCAAATCTGAAGAATGTATGTTCTGATGATGCGAAGCTCAGATTTGCTGAGACTGCTAGAAGCTTGCTCTGGACTGTTAAAAGATCTGAACCATTGCTTCTTGAAGATGTTCCTTCATCATCTGAAGTATGTGATACAGAAGTGACTGCTGAGTCTGCATCTGAAGAAAACCCTCTAGCTATGACTCTTGTGGAACATCCCTCTAGATCTGTTGCTCCTGACTCTGCATCTCCTATGGAAATTGACTTTGTTCCTGCTTCAGGCTCTGCCCCACCTTCTTCATCTGAGGTCAAGAAAGAAAATCCAGATCTTGAAGATAAGATTGCAGTTCTAGAAGCTGGTCAATCTGAGATTAAGTCATGGATGGCCAAACAAGATCAGAAGTCTGAAGACATGACTCAATGGATGTCCAAACAAGATCAAAAAAATGAAAACATGGCTAAGTGGATGTCAAAGCAAGAACAATCCTCATCTGAGATCACTAACCTGTTGAAGATGCTTCTGTCCAAACAAATTTAGTTTAATTTTTTTTTGCATCTGATGTTTAAGCACATGTACTTGTTTCTTATCTGATGTTTTATATCTTTTCCTCTAAATGAATGAATGACTAAGTGTTTTCTCCACATGATTTATCTTTTCTGTATTTCCTTTTATCTGTCTTTTAAAGTTTTTACTTTTTGATTATGACAAAAAAGGGGGAGAAAATAGATCTGACTGTTTAAATAAACTCTACCTAAATGAAACTTCAGACATATCAATTTTAACTAACATAAACTCTTAGTGTTTCAGAACGTTTGATAAATCTGACATAACTCTAAGACTTCCAGATAATATTTTACTTATCAGACTCTGACTCTGAAGCATGCAAGATCTAATGGTTGGACCATTCAGGCTCTAATTCTGAAGAGAATACTCATGCAAAAAGGGAAGTTCCTATTCCTTCTTAGTATTCAATTCAGGGGGAGATTCATCATCTTAGGGGGAGTTATAATTATTTTACTTTCTATTGAACCAAATTTCTGATGTTTTTGTCATCATCAAAAAGGGGGAGATTGTTAGAACACAGATTGGTTCTTAATAATATCTCTATGTTTTGATGATAACTATTATGAAATTTTGTATTAAAGAATTATATACACTAAAATTTGCTTAAGAATGTTTGCTGCAGATGTTAAAGTAAATATTACTCCAGAAGCAAATGAGATCTGAACATAAGAAATATGCAAGGCTCTGAAACGTCAGAAATATCTCTTAGAAGATTTTGAATGCTGCCTCCAAAAGATTCTGAGCGCTGCTCCCAGAAGAATCTGAAGCAGAAGCTACAAAAGAATCTGAAACAGAAGCTCCAGAAGAATCTGAAGCAGAAGCCAGAAGCATCTGAAGCAATGAGGTATTCTGTATGAAGAGTTTCAAGCACAGTTACTTCAGAAGACTCTGATAGTATTAACGCTGCCAGTACTGAGGATCTGACCCAAAACTCTGAAAGCACACTTGCTGCAAAGACTCTGATTCAGCAAACTCTGATGAACATCAGAAGACTCTGACCAATTTAGACTCTGATGATTTTTGCTGAAAATTGTTGAAGAAGAATTCAAAGTTATGTCCGTTGGAATAACCAAACGACTCTTTCCTTATTTATGCTAGACACAAGAACACAGACAAAAAGGATTTCTCTGTGCATTCTTTTTCTAGGAAAGGTCACATGATGTGAAGACAAAAAGGCTCAGACCTTTTTGGTACATTCTTCTCAACGTGAAAAGCTCTTGAATCACTGTGCCTATAAAAGCAAGTCTCCATTCATCTTCTTCAGTTGACAAAAACACTTGAAAAAAATTTATCACAAAGCTCTCATACAATTTAAAATCATTTACTGAATTATTTCATTGTTCTTCATCTTAAGTGAAAAATCACAGTTGTGATAAAGCTTTATTAGAAGCATTTTTTAACACTTGTATTATTACTACTTTTGATTGTAAAAGAACCTTAAGAAGATCCAGTTAGGATCAATAGTTCTTGAGAAGAATTTGAACAGTTGTTCTTAGTGCTTACTATTGTAATCAGTTGATTAAATAGTGGATTAAGTCCTTGTTTGAGAAAGGCAAATCACTCTAGATAGGGTGGACTGGAGTAGTTGAGTTCAACGAACCAGGATAAAAATCCTTGAGTTTTTATTTCTAAGTTTTATCTTCATACTTATTCAACCCCCTTCTAAGTATTTTCTCACTTTCACTTACTGCTTTCTCAATCGGACAAATTGATTTAGATTTATGGTTAACTTTAGGTCGAACAAACCATCGTTAATGCAATTTGATCGATAATGCTTCAGTAGATATTACCTAGGACTAGGAATACCCTGTTGCACTTGGAACACTGTTGACATTATTTTTAATGCTTGATTTCGAACTAATTGCATATGGACATAATAATTAGGTTATGTGATTAAGAGGTTTTCTCACTGAAGATTTAGGAGTAAACAAATTTTCAATCAAGAACTTGATAATGTGATGACATGAAAGACTCGTTTCATTTATAACTCAACGAGGAATACAAACAAGTCATTTCATATGCTTCACTATTCTTTAAACAAAATTAATCATCATTAACTATTTCAGTTGTGTGTGCAGATGAACTAATCTTAGTAGGAAATTTTGTGCCAAAGTTTCATACTATCAAAGAAGCATTTGACAATGCTTTAAAAATCAAATATTTTTGATATACAATTTGTTCACTCCAAGTAAAGAACTTCCTTATATCAAAGGAAATATTGCTTGGACCTCCTACAAGATTTAGAAATGCTTTGTTCTAAACCAAACTCTACTCCATTTGATCCATCATCCAAGTTGCATCAAGATAACATATCACATTATCATGACATTCATGCATATTTAAGGTTAGTTGAAAGACTTATGTACCTTAATGCTACTAGACCCGATATTACATTTTGCACTCAGCAATTGAGATAGTCTTTATCTGCACAAACCATTAACAATTTTCTTGCTACAACCCGAGTTTTAAGATACTAGAAGTTTTGTCCTAGCCTAGGGATATTCATGCCAATATATTCATAGATATGACTGCAATGTTATACATATTGGATTGGCTGCTTTAATTTAAGACAATGTATTTTAGGTCAATGCTTTTCTTTGAAAAGATCATTCAATCGTTAGAGAAGATGACAACAAGAATGATGAAGTTACTACCATGTTCCTCTAGAGAGAAATCGACAGAATATTTTTTATCAAATCCTTACTTTCGCGATCTTTGAACATCTAGCTATCCAATTGATAATGTTAGATATATACCAACCCTCACATGTGGGTATACTTATAACATGATGATGTTACTTATAAGCCAGGGAATAAGGATACATGAGCATATTAAGTCAAGTCTGTATATAACTAATTGTTAATTAAATACGTTATGTCAATTAGAAAAGTAGTTAGAATTAGTTAGAGGATTCGCTAAGATAGAAAGTAGCACATGATAACTAAATCTGATGATTATCCTTTCTATATAGGATTATGAAGAAAAAAAATACTTTAAATATATAGATTTTTAAGATCTTTCTTAATATTATAGTTTTTACAATCTTGTTACCTCTCACCATACTACAAAATTAATTAGATATGATTTTTCAATCTAGACTAAGATAATTTATTTTAGGATTTTGTTATCCTCTTTCAATGTTACGTAAGATTCGCGATCCTAACAACCTTAGTCAAAAACACCAGAGAGTTGTTAGGTGGAGCGTTGCAACAAGAGAAGAGCGACAGATGGATACAACAAGCCATCTTGAGAAGAATGATAATGGCAATGAAACATTGTGGTGGCCACAAAAGACTATTTCACTACACCAATAGAGTTTTCTTTCAAATCTATAGAGTTTGGTGTCAAATTTATTTTTGTACTTTTTTACCAAATCAATCAACCAATAATTTGTCATATGCAATAACAATTTGTACATCTTCCTCTCTTTCTGTATGCATTGATAACTTGGTATCCCTTTCAATTCAATAATAGATGAAATCATAGATGAAATCCCTTTCAATTCAATATATAATATGTACAAGCATACTCTAAACTAAATACCATCAAATCACATAGTTTTTTTTTGGCCTCTTGCTACTTGCTACATAGCATTAAGTTTCTTTATACAAATATCATATAGAATCATCCAAAACTTGAATAACTGTTCTCTAAACCATATAACAGATCCTTTAAGGACTAATCTTAGGCGATATCACCGTGTTGCAAGGACGAGAAGTCCAAAGAGAACAAAGAGTTCGAAGACGATGAAAATATTCCCCGAGAGCAATCAAGCCTCTAGCCGCTTGGCGAGTAGACAGAATTCGCGACATGTGTATCAGAGTTTGCTGCCTAAGGTGATCTGCCTGGCTTACAAAACCTTCCAGCGCTTCGAATTTTCCTATAGCGAAAGCCATCTGAATTCCATGATTTACTGCACTGAATGGATCAACTGACATGTCTTGCACAAGACTCTGCTGGAGTTTATCGAGTCCTTGTGAAAGAGCGTCTTCAGCTTGCTGAGAACACAGACAAAGCTTCTTTATGCTAGCGATTTGTGGATCCGTCAATAGCTCAAGTTGCGGCACGATTAGCTGTAGAAACAAGAAGAAAAAGTTTAGTAATGGTTACTGATTCATCGAGGCTTACTAGGATCGGACTAGTACGTTTAGAAGCTGTGACGGGCGTGATCCTCCGATCCATAGGAAAAGGCGTTCGGCCGATGCTTTCCATACGCCCGAGATTAAATAAAGCACATCAGCCTTCGCAGCGTCAGCTTTCATTCGAAAAAGATCCGCGTAATGATCCAAGACATTCTGAACAGCCTGACCGAGCTGCACCTCGGGCGCGTTAGCTTGAAATACATTTCTTAGCTCATTGTTACGCCTATGACTCTCTTCGACCCAATTTCCATATTCAATTTCAAACGCGACGATTCCTGTTTTACACAACATACAAACACGACTTAAAAAAATGTAACACGAATAAAATAATTTATCGAAACATGAAATCGATATCAAGAATCACAAACCTGGATTTATTGTTTCAGATGATCCCATAAAACTTGTATCTAAGGAATTTCCATTGCACATACCCTGCAACTAGAGTTGAAATTTTAGTATATGCTCATAAATAAAAATAAAAATAAAAGAATCACATTTCAAAGCATAAGTTAAGATTATAAATTAATCTATAGTTTTGATTCACCTGCTTTCTTGCTCTTCCAATCTCCAACTCAAGTTGCATCAGCTTCAATCTGCTTGTTTCTAATTGTTGAACATAAGCCTACAAATATCTTTTATTAATCAGTTACAACTACTTTCATCTATACATACTGTCCTAGAAGGAAATTTATAGTACCTTTTTGCGCAATCGACTTTTCCTAGCGGCCTCTCGATTCTGAGCGAGGCGTCGTAGCGCCTACACATAATGTCAGAAACAAACAAACAAACATCTCAAAATCATTCATGTTTTGTGTTACATCTTTCTCACAAAAATCAATATGTCACAATTCATGTCTCGACAAAATTCGATTACCTTACTATCTATAGCCTCTTGATCAGCTCCAGAAGACTCTCTTGGTTCATGAGGAACATATTCACTCTACAAAATTCAAATTCATCAATGATGCTAACTTTATATTCATCAAAATAATGTACAGAATCATGCCACCTCTCTGCTCTTATTTATAAAAAAAAATAAAAATATATAAATCAGATATATTAATTATTTAATAAATTTAAAAAATAAATTTTTTCTTATAAATAAGATCAGAGTGAATACTAATTACTCACCTTGTTCTCTATATTAGTAGTGTTCACCATTAACATTGGTGAAGAAGCAATTGAACTCAAACCACCTTCAACTTTAAAGTTATCACCCCACATGTTAACTTGTTGGAATGGCTCATATATGTCCATTGATAAAAGAAGAAATTTCTTACTTGAAAAAATTTGTAACCTCAGAACTTGGTTAGACTATAAATGAAAGACCCTTGTGAATGATGATGAGAATTGAATATATATAATTGAGAAACTCACTAGCTTTTTCTTAGTTGGTTGTAATTAATTTTAATAATTATTTTGTCACATGCAAACAAACAATAAAAGCAATGTTGAGACTAAAGATGACAAGTGAAACATATAGTAATAGATCACAACTTTTTCCTTTTATAAAAATATGTTTTGAAGAGACAAGTTGCAAACTTTGCTATGTTCCCACTTCATGAGAAACTGTAGTGAGTGTAAAAGCATTAAAATAATAAAGGATAGTGCATTAAGAAAATGAAAAGGTTATATAGAAGAAAGTACTAAATCCACATCGATCACATGTTCTTCTTTACTTGAAGTGATTGTGATTCATTTCTTGTCTTGTACAAGACTTACGTGTATGGTAAGTTATCAATATTTTAGAATATGTTGATCTTTAAAATTTAATGAAAGGGACAACTTAGTATTTTTATTTTTGTGAGACAATAATTTAGTGTTTTAAACTTAAAAAATGATGGTCAATTGTCTTTTTTCGAATTTAGCATTATGATTTTAAAGATATTATAAGTGTGTTTGTTAATTGGAATTATATTGTACTTTTAAAAGTTAGTTTAACGGATTAAGGTGTATAATATAAGACTCAAATACAACTTGAATATCAATCTTTATTTTTAGTGTGACTTCAATTCACATTGTCATATTTGATTTTATGATAGATGAATTTGAACTTCACTTTCAAAAGTTAGATTATAAGACGAGGGTGGTCAACCAAATATATACACTCAATAGTCTTAAATTTTGATAATGTAAGACGTTGGTACAAATTTAATATACAATCTCACGTTTAGTGTGAGAAACACATTCACATTTAGTGTGAGTCTTGAGTCCACTTGTCACAATTTCTTTATTAATCTGACTACAATATCATATTAAATGAACATGAATCACAGACGTATATTCGTTCAATAATATGAGAACTTTGACATTGAAAGACTCTAATACAACTTTAATTCTCACTCTCACACGGAGTGTGGGTACAAAGTCCAATTTCTAAATTATCATCTTTCACTCGCTCGGATATCACATTGAAAGTTAGTTCAAATGACACACAATGTTGTGAAAATATGATCAAAGAATTCAAATACACCAAGTCCAAAAGACATGACGCATGAAAAAAAAAAACAACGACAACCAATTCTAAACAATTTCTTATAATAGTCTATTTATCAACTAAACACAAGAAATATTATATTAACAAGAACCAAATAAAAAAAAAAGAATCAACTGACAAAAAAATTAGTTACTTAATTCAATACGAATTAATCTACTTTAGAGAGCATATCAGCTCTCGAATCCACAACCAATCAAGAGGGATTTTATTGTATTTGATGATCTTTATAATTTTCTTTAGATTTTACTGTATTCGATTATAATAATTTATGCCTCAAAATTTCATGTGATCGAAGGGAGAATTGTTTTTGGAATAAGTAATTTTTGCTCATCAATCAACGACTTAACTGTTCAAATGGTTGACTTGGTCAATTGTCAATGGTTAACTCAGTTAATAGTCAATGGAAATGATTAATCACTGTGAGAAAATAGAAACCAATCATATGAGTTTCCATCTTTTCCTGACCCTAAAAATCAGAGTGAACGTACTCAAGCGTTTTCTAGAATTATGTATACTACTCCCAAATCTCACTCTATGTTATTTTCAAAGTATAAACAGTCACAAATTTCTAGTTTGTTTAATTTCTCACTACCTAGAAAACTTTGCTTAAAAAGTTAATCCAAACCTCTTTTACTAATATGGACTAATTTCAAATATCATAGTTTTGTTGTATTATGAAAGTCTTGACTAGAGAATGACACATTACCACTAATACTATAATCGTCCAAAATATACAAAAACATATAGTTTAGACCCTCTAGGAGTTATCAATGCACCATGTGAACTTTTCAACATGTCATATTAAGATTCAGTGCAATTGTTTAAATCATCAAACATGAGACAAAAACTTCCCTCAATATATTATCTTTGAGAGACAATAATGACACTTCTGACTTTATCCACCATCTCAGTCTTCTTTTCTTGTGTCAGGCATGTCCACATCAACGTCTGGCCTTTAAATGCTTCTACATACTTTTGTCTTTGAAAATTTTTTTGATATCTCATTGTGAGAGAGAGAGAGAGAGAGATCCTCAAGGTTTAATAAATGGTAGTTTTAATTTCGATAAAAAAATATATATAATTTGATCAAAAATTATTTTAGTCATAATTTTTTAAATAAAAAAATATATTGAATAAAAAATAAAAAAATAAAAAAAGATGGGTACATAAAACCTAACACTTCAAAAAGCTAGCAAAAGGAACGTCGAACATGCCCAACTGATCCCTAAAACAAATTTCAATAGCAGAAAGTGAGTTTCATCAAATGTCTTAATCAACAAAAAAATCCTACATAGACTAGTTTATCTCCACGTGCATTTTGTTTTTTTTGAAAATGCGAGATACTTTAAATCTAAAAGAACTCATAATATGTAAAGTATTCTTCTTTTTAATTAAAAGATGTAAATGGACAATATTCATATTAGTAAATGCATGAAGAGTCAAGATTGAGTTCGTTTCAAACTAAATATTTACCTAATTCTCTCTCTTAACATACTTTATAAGAAGTATGATTCCATAAATTTATTTTTTAATGAGGTGCGTACTCTAATCTTAGTTGAGAAAACACCAAAAAATATTCTTAAATTATCCTTAAATATGACACAACAAATTGATATTCTAAATTTTTTTCTTGAAGGTCTACCAATATTGCACTAAATCTAATTACGAATAAGCACTACTATGAAATATACCTTTGGTGACACAATATTACAACAACCATTTTGCCACCATAGTCATATCACATTTTTTACATGCATGTTTTTTTTAAATAATTTTATTAAGAAAATTTTCATCATGGTTCCTAAAAATAACTGTGGTCATAGAATTTGGATGACAAGTTTTGAATCTCAGCATCAATATATTTTCATTTTTCCAATAAAAATAGGCATGTGTCTCTTCAGATTTATTGTTATTTGTAAATTAAAAGTACAATAGCTATGGTTGTTTCATTCAATTGTGGTTATATGTTCTATATTTCACTATTGTTGAAGCTTGAAATCGTTGCGAGATTATTTCCTACAAAACTAAAACATAACAGATACTTCATTTCGTTCATAAAACACAAGGGTCCCCCGCGAACGAGATGACGGCAATATCGAAATCTTCACCATCTTTATTCATTTCTAGAAACGAATATCATTTATGGAAACAAACTCATCATCCTGTTCAAATTATAGTACGTTACCATTATTTCTCTCTCTCTCTCTCTCTCTCTCTCTCTCTCTCTCTCTCTCTCTCTCTCTCTCTCTCTCTCTCTCTCTCTCACTCTCACTCACTCACACACACACACACATACACACACACACACTCTCTCTCTCTGACGCTTCTAAATGCTTATGTTCTTCGCTAGGGTTATTTATCTCTCTCTCTCTCTAACGTTTATGAATAGTTATGTTCTTCGTTAGGGTTACTGATTTCCTTTTTTAATAGACAAATGATGATGGACTTTGTTTCATTTCATGAATCAACGCTTTCGGCATTGACATTGTCATGTGTATTGTTCATGTTGCCATGTTCATATTTTATTTAAATTTTTTGAATATGCTTTAGTTTTTGGTGTTGGATATGCATATGCATATAATCATATTAGGATGTTGTGTGTGTAGCATTAGTGTGTCATTCACATTAGTTTTTTTATAAAAACTTCAGAACTTGTAATGGGTCGTAGTTGGATGAAACTGATAGATTATGTCTGGTGTATGAGAAATGAGTTCTTGAATTTCTTGAATTCGTCAAAAAAATGTTTTTGAAAAAAAACGGTATCTTTTATTATCCTTGTGTCGTTTGCAGAAATATAAAAAAATGGTCAAAGAAAGAAATATTACATCACCAATTAGATGACATGCAAATGAAAGAAAATATGATGGGAACATTCGCCATGTAGTTGATTCGTTACAATGGAAGAAAATTGATTCATTATTTCTGAATATTTTCCTTGAGCTAAGAAACCTTAGGCTTGGGCTTGCCACAGATGGAATGAACTCGTTTGGTAATCTGAGTACTAACCATTCTTCATGGCAAGTTCTTCTCATGATTTATAACCTATATCCTTGGTTGAGCATGAATCACAAGTATATGATGTTAAGTATGATGATTTTTTGACCAAGACAACCTGGAAACGACATAGATGTTTATCTAAGTCCATTAATTGTGGATTTAAAACTTTTGTGAGATAAAGGTGTTGACGTTGATGATGCATATTTTGGTGAAAAGTTTAAGATGCGTGCAATGTTATTTTGCACAATCAACGACTTTCCTGCATATGGTAATTTGGATGAATATAGTGTCAAAGGACATAAAGTGTGTCCTATATGTGAATATAATACTTGTTTTCACCAGCTTGATTTTGAAAATAAAAACTGTTTGCCTTGAGCATCCGAAATTTCTAAAACTCAATCATCCTTATCGTAGATTGTGAAAGGCATTTAACGGAAAGCAGAAGCTTGAAATCGCTCCTAAACCTTTAACATGCGATGAAGTTTATCAATGACAAGAACACCTTAATGTTGTCTTTGGAAAGAATAAAGACGGTCTCGTTGAGAGAAATATTTGAAAAAGAGATCGGTGTTCTTTGATCTTTCATATTGGTCTATACTCGATGTAAAACATTGTCGTGATATGATGCATATGGAGAAAAAATATGTGAGATAATTTGATAGGAACACTTCTAAACATTCCAGGCAAGACTAAGTATAATAAGAATTCTCGTTTAGATATGGAGGAGATGGATACACGACAACAGTTAGCTTCAAAAGATAAA